AAAACTTCAGTTTTTTGAAAGCCTGTAACGTATGCCAATATTTTAAAACAATAAATAAAAATTGAAAAAGTGTAGCAGGAACATTGTCTACCTCATGCATGATTCGATCTTTTACTCGCATGAACGTGTCACCAATTATTCTACGTTTGAGTTCCGGCAGCACTGTTCTCATCAGTGGCATTGACACGGCCTCTCCAATTGATATGCGCCCATTAAGAAAGGCGTAGTACGCACTGTATCCTGTAAAACAATAAAATAATGGTAAATATAATTAGGGTAATTTTTATTATGCGGTTTTTACATCTATGCAATGCAAGAATGTATATTGTCAAGGGGTTGCCTGTGTGTGAGTCTGTGTCTGTGCGTTCATCTGTATCGATTTTTCATTCCGAGACATACACAAGCTACAGGGCTGAAACTTTGGGAAGCGTACCAACTGACAGCGCCATTTTCCTGCAGGTGCTTCTAGCTAAGAAAACTGAGACTGGCCACCAGGTCTGTCAGAAAACATCCGCTTAAACTTTTAGCCTTTTAGCTTTTCCGGTTCCCGAGTTAACAACTTACTTGCCAAAAATTTACAAGCACGTACGGGACCCTGTTCCCAAAATGGGCGCTCGTACCCACGTGGTTCCCACGTATAGGCCCGTCATAGTTTTTTAGCGAGTAAGCTGCTAACTTGGTAATCAGAAAAGCTAAAAAGCTGAAGTTTTAAGGAGACGTCCCCCGTCCACGCAGGTCGTAATGAGTTCAGACCCAGCTCCCAGTTATACATGTTTCTCACGTGTAGGCCGGTGAAAATTTTTGTCAAGTTGTTAACTCGGGAATCAAAAAAGCTAGAAAGCTAAAATTTTAAGCGGATGTTTTCTGACATACCTGGTGGCCAGTGTCAATTCTCTTAACTAAAAGCATCTGCAGGAAAATGGTGCTGTCAGTCGGTGCGCTGACCAATTATTTCATTGTCGTTCTAATGGCACTGCCCCGAAAAATATTCATGTTCTAATTCTTGCGCAGAGATAAAAAGTGCTAACAAACACAGTCCTGATCCAAATCTAAACGGATCTGGACTGCTCTCCTCACACACAATTGACGAACAAACACACACGCACACAAATGCGATTTGTAGTTCGAGTTCCGTGAAAATTTAAGACGCTGTACATTAATAATGCACGCCAACAGGTTGTTCCCGCATATATAACTCTTGATATTTCCGTGGTATACTGGTTCGCAAAAAATACCAATCTCCTCGAATAGTTACTACCCGCTATCGAGAATGCAGTAGTTCACCGAAAACGACTGCAAATTGTGATAATTCTGGCACTTAGCACAATAAAGCAGGGGTTGAAAAGATGTCAATAACTTCTCGTCTGGGCTTGAATGTATCTATACATGAAACGTAAGTGTACGTGAAGCAAAACTGAAACTGCCAAGGTCATGCATGGGGAGGAAACATCACCCTAAAATTGGAGCCCTCCGCCTGCTTCCCACGAGATATTCTCCGTGCCCGCACTTGAAAGCTACGCATACATGAAAACAGAATTGGAATTTCCATGGTCACTCGTTAACAAAACAATCTTTCTAAAACCGCAACTTTTTATGTACAAGCTAGAAAATTCCCCATATCCAATAAGTTTCATGTGTCCACAAGCAAGTTGCAGAGCTATGTGAAAGCTAATTTCAAATTTTCAGAATCACACATGACCATGAAGCATCCGCAAAAAATTTCAGCCTTTTACTCCCAGATTAAAAGAATCCAGCCAAAATTTTTACGTGTTCGCAGGCGAATCGTAAGGTAACTTGGAAGCTCAGTTTGGATTTCTACGGTCACATATGGACAGGAAATAGCTTTTCCCGGCTGATGAGTTGTAAAAACCGACAAAAACACACACACACAGACCCATGCAAGCACAGACCCTATCTTGAGAACAGGCGTTTTGATTCGTTGCTGCATAAAAAAAAGCATCAAAAAACGGATATAGCGTAGAAAAGTTGCCAGACAAAACAGCTTCCACCAATAAGG